CCGGTAAGTAGGCAGTTCTCGGGTTTTTAGAGCCTTTTAAACCAAGAGTACTACTGGGAGTATAACGGGTTCTATACTAGATATTCGAATATTTTTAAGATAATAGATCTGAGCTTCTAGTTTCTCTAGATCTTCTTTCTATTATATCTCTATTTCTAATTTAGTAATATAATAGCAAGCCGCTACTAATTTCTCTATTATTATTATCTTACTTACTAGTTCTAGGGATATCTGAGTTCTACTTCTTTCTCCTAATTAGGTAATATAAAGAGTACTTAACTAGGCGCTTCCCTGGATACCGGGTTAGGTTACTCTAGTAGTAATAGAGGTACTTCTTCTGGTTAATATTCTAGTTATTAATATTTTTGTTTATTAATAGCTTAATTACCTTATAATAAACTGCTTTCTAAAGGTTAGATTAATTAGAATATAAGATATATAATAGTAGAATAATATATAAGTAGTTAAGATAAGTAAGCTATAAAGTAATACTTGTAAATATAACTAATTCCAAGAGTTAATTCTAATAAAAGACTAATTAATATCCCTTTCTAAAGCTAGAAGTATCTCCCTATATATTCCCTAGTATTTAGCTAAGCCTATAAAGCACTTTACTTAATTAAGAAATATAATCTCATATGATTTATATAATTCTAATTACCTATATAATTCCGATTATAAGCTTTATCTAAAATAGAAAACTAGATCTATAATATCTAATACCTGTTTATATACTATTATATATACCTATTATAATTTCCCGGATTTTATCTAAATTCTAGTATATTTCCTTTATTTTATTATATTAGTATTTATTCTTTTTTCTAGAAATCTGGATAAAATATTTTTCTTTATTATACTAAATTATACTTTATTATCTAGGTAAATTATAAAAAAAAGTAAATTTTTAAAGCTAAACTAAAAATAAATACTTGCCTATATTAGTTCGAAATATTATTAAAAATCGAGAGAAATCTTCCTAATTATTTTAATTTTTATAACCTTAACTATTTATATTATTATTATTACTTTAATAGAACTATTAATAAAAATGAAATAAATAAGAAATCCCGGTAATATATTATTTATAGCCGGACTAAATAAGGCTACTTACTAGATTCTAAATAACTTAAATAATAGTAGTAATATCTTAAGTTTGGTAACTATTATTATTATTAATATAATTACTAGCTAAATTACTTTTATAGATGAAAATAGTAATTCCCTTACCCAAGAATAGGTTAATATATAGAATATGGCCTATATTGCCCTTAAGAATATACCTGAGATTATTATAGAAGATATCTTAATAGAATTTTCTAAGGATAATAAAATAAAGGTTTTAGTTACTAGTAATAATAAGTCTAATAGTCTAATAGGTGAAATAAATAGTACTAATAAGAACTTCCTTATTAATCTTATAGAGCCAAATACTAAGAAAGTTAAAAAGGGTAAGGCTAGTTTATTTAAGAAATATAAGGTATTAGATAATAGTAAGAATTCTAATAATAAAAAGATTAAGAATAAAAAGACTTCTAGTAATAAAGGAAACTCTAACTATAATAAAGATAGCTAAATTAGTATTAAGATATTTATTATAACCAGAAAACGTATGGTATTAAGTAGTAGTTATTATATAAAGTACTAGTCTAAAACTAAGAGCTAGTAAATAATCCTAAAGGCCGAATTAAAGAAGTAATACCCTATAGATATTAATAAATTAGTATATAATATTATTTAGGAAATCGGAAAATTCCTTAGAAGCTCTTATAAGACCAAAATCATATAGCTTAAGGCCCGGGAATTTAATAATAAAGTAGCTTAAGTAGTTGCCTTTAATATATAAGTTTTTATTATAGAGAAATAACTTGAGAATATATATATTAAGCTTAAGAAGGCCTAGAAATTAATTAAGTAGCTTAGAAACGGTATAATTAAGCCAAATATTACTATTCTAACTAAGAAAAAAGGCAAGTAAGCTATTATATTAAAGCCTGTATTAATAAATAAACTTGATCTACTACTTCTATTTAAAGACCGCCCGATAATAATAGTTCTAATATTAGCCATAGCCTATATAGTACTTCCAGATTATATTATTAATATAGGTATAGGTATAATACGAATAATAGATACTAAGAACTGGCCGGAATATACTAGAAACTGGGTTATTCTAGTAAAGTTAAGACTATACTTTAATTATAAATAAGCTATAGGAATTAGATAGAATAGGATTAATAGCTATTATTTCCTCTTTTTTCTTTTCTATACTATAGCTAAATAATTCCCTAAATAAGGGCATTTAGACTTTTCTTTAGAAAGAAGTAATATAATAGCTAATATAAGAGTATAATCTACTAAGGATAGGATATTAGAAATAGATATAAAACGAAGCTAAGCCGGAATTACTTAGATGAAATAATACTAAAGATTAAGGTATTCTCTTTACTTTATTTCATAGCTTAGTATTTTCTAATATATGAGATTCTTTAAACTTTGAGCCTCTAACTATTATATTAATCCCGCTATTATACTTATTACTAGGAAATATATAAATATTAGATAGTAATTATAAAATCCTAATACTTTACTTCCTAGTAAAATAAAAGTAGAGAAATACTACTAGGCTAATATTAAATACAAATCTCAATTATATAAGCTTTAGGATAATTAAGTATATTATAAGAAATACTATAATAGTTACCGTAATAAGATTCTTCTAGTTTATTATACTCTTTACTATAATAATATCTTTGAGATTTTAATTATTATTTATAAGAAATTAATATATATAAGTAAGTACTTCTAAAATATACTAATTTTTATACTAATTATCTATATAATAGCCCCTAATATTATATTTGAGTATATAAGACGAATTTAGTATAGCCTATTCTATAATAACTATACTTAGATAAGTACTTATTATTCTTATTATAATAAGAAAAAGACTTAGAAGAATAATAAGGAAATTATATTTATCTAATCTTATTATCCTAGTAAGTATATAGTTCTGGATTTAATAGATTTTTATATAAGTGTTTTTTAAGTTATATAATTTACTTTTATATTCCTGTATTTCTTGTATTTCCTATATTTCCTATATTTCCTATATTTCCTATATTTCCTATATTTCCTATATTTCCTATATTTCCTATATTTCCTATATTTCCTATATTTCCTATATTTCCTATATTTCCTATATTTCCTATATTTCCTATATTTCCTATATTTCCTATATTTCCTATATTTCCTATATTTCCTATATTTCGTGTATTTTTAAGCTTTTCTTATAATTTTTGCAATTCTTGTAATTTTTATAAATTCCGAATCTTTTTATTTATACTTTATTAATATTATAGTATTACTATTACTAATACTATTATAGTATAATCCAAACGGAGAATATATATGAATCTGGTAATTAAAATACTACTTTTCCAAGTTCGTCTGAATTCATAGGCTTAAGGCTAAGACTATGAATAAAGCTATAGGCAAGCTTATTAAATAGCTAAATAATAATAGATATATTTTTATTCTAGCCTATAATAATAGGAGAAAGTTTAAGGGAAAAGTAATTGAGATTTATAAAAAAAGAGAAATAAAGATTATTTGCAGACGAGCTTATTATTCTTAATCTCAGGGCTCTATTAAGGTAGCTAATTGAATCTTTAAGAAATAGCTACGGGCCATACGAGCGGATACTAGTATCTAATCGTAAATATAGTTACTTCCTTTAATTATATGAGTAATTAATACCATAGCTATAGGGGCTCTTCCTAAGGGAAATATACTATACGAGGTCTGGTTTAGATAAAAGCCACCTACTGATTTCCCGGATTATAAGGAGAGCGCTTGCCGTATATATATAGCCCTGGAAAGTATAGAGGGAGGGGGGGAGGTTAAGATTAATGAGAATAGTAGTTCTGAGGGTAGAGAAAATAGCTTATTTATTAACGAGGAAGCAGATTAAGAAGAAGTAGCTAAGAAGATGATTTTATCTAAACTAACTAAGAGAGTTACGGAGCATATAAGAAAACAGAGGGGGAATATAGTAAAGAGAGCGAATTCCAAAACTCTTGAGTATGATATTTAAGAGATTGCAACTCTTCAGATCCCAAAGTAATACAGATTCGGTATAGAAATGGCTAGGATTCTAGTAAGAGTTCTGGAAAAGACTTTAAAGATATATAATTTATAAGCCTTACTTTTAATAAAAGCTAATTAAAATAGGGCTACCGTCTAGCTACTAAGTATAGCAAGCTTACTACTCTCTGGCCGCATAGTACCCTTAATAAAATCATCTCCTAATTGACTTATCCTGATTTACCTACTACTAGTGCAACCCACAAGAGGGATAAAATTACCCTTCCTAAAGCGGTAGCAAAAGAGAATAATCGTAGTTCAATTGCATCAGTTTAGAAGGCTGGAAGAGTATCTGAGAGAGCAAAGAAGAGAGTAGCTGAGGAGCAAGCACGTGAGAATGGAGCTAGAGAAGGAGGAGAATCAGGTGATCAAGTGGAGGGGAGGGTACCAAAAAGGGCTAGGGTGGCTATGGGAGCACCTAGACATAGTGGGAGGCATATATAATAAAGCTTGATTTGGATGGAGTATTCTATATACTGTTTTGCTATTCCCGAGACCTCAATATTACCCGATTAGGTAATCGGGACCTACTGTGGCTTGCGAATCGTATTCCATTTCCTATTGATTAATCGGAGAGCCGATTGATCAATCGTAGCGCCCGATTCATAAACCGCTCGTATTGATAGATGGGATGGAACAGATCGAGCGCGAAGTGAGTGAGATTCTAGAAAATGGAATTTTAGGGTCCACGTGGTGCCCCGTTGAGGAATTGCAGACCAAATCGATCTCATTGAGTTCCTCCTTTCCAGAATGAAAGGATGGCTCAAAAATATTCCTAAGTGTCTCTGTCTCACGATGCTGCTCGGTGTTGAAGTGGGGCCACGCGGGGTAGACCACAAGGGCTAGCTCCCCATTATAACTCCGCTAAATCCGCCAAATTTCTCCAACTCTCTCGCCGAAACAACATCATCCGTCTTCTCTGTCCTCCTCTGCCACTCAATCATGGCCATCACCAAGGTCCCTCTGACCAAAGCCGCAATGCGCAAGGAAATTCCAGCAGGCGATGAACCTCTGGTCGACACCACAGCGTCTCTGCTGCTCCGTTCCAAGCGCCTGGAACGACTCCAAAAGAAACGCCACCAAAAAGAAGCTGCCTCGAAGCAGTACGCAACGTTCTTGGATCTCCCCTCAGAGCTTATCCTCAACATCCTGAGCCTCCTCCGACCCAGCGACATATTCACGCTATCTCAAGTCAACCATGGCCTCCAAAACTTCATCCTCAAAGATGCATCTCGCATTGCTGGTACCGTCATCGCAGAACGATATTCGATTCTGACAAGATGTTTCCCGCTACCCGTCCTCCTTGAGAACGTAGACAAAGAAGCACACTCCGCCCTCCTCGATAACGAGAGACAAGCAAAGCACCTACAAATCCACAAGAAACCATACCAGCACGTACAAACCCCGGATCCACGCACGATCTGCACATGCTTGACATGCATGCTGACATGGAACAATCTCTGTCTTCTGGTCGACTTCGCACACTGGCAGCAGAATTTAGAGCAAGGGGAACCCATCCCGATGGTCCCGCGTGGGAAAAATCCCAAATGGAACCAAACGCTCATCTCAGCCAACGCAGCAGTCGTCCAAAAGGCCCTCTACAACACATTATGGTACGCACGGATCCTCGAGCAACATCTCAAGTCCATAGTTGGTTCAATACGTCGGCACGGAAACAATGCAGGGAACAAACGGCGACGGTTCAGGATGACGGTACAAGATGCTGCTACGGAGACTGATGCCTTCCTGAGTAGGAGCAGACCTCCGTCAATGGATTTCCCGTTTCATAGAGATAGTTATTATATGTTGGAGGCGTACCTGCCGAATCGAGGGTGGAATTCGGAGGTCAATGGGTGGGTGTACATGCCAGCAACGCAGCATGATCGAGACGTTGAATTTGTCAAGACTTGGGCGAAAAGGAGAAGAGAGGTTGCTGCTGAGGCTAAGGAGTTGAAGGAGGTGTCGTGATGGGAGAATTGGTTCCCGTTCATGGCTCTGATCCGGTTGCATTAAAATTCAAAATATAGGGGCAGATCTGGATTTCCGATACGCATAAATCCGAAGAGATGCATTCCATGACCCGCTTCGTTCGGATAATCTCCTACTCTTTGGTTACCGCCTCGTTACTAGAAGGTTGTCTGAACCGAGTGGTGTTCAGAATTTTCCAAACTATCCCTGTGCTATGTTCTCGCCTTCATAGGACTCGCCCGTTACAGTACTGCCGGAGCGATATTGGGCAATGTCCCAACAGGACTTCGACCAGTTGAGAACAGCCAGCTTCGCAAGATCTGAGCTTAAGATAACATCTGCATATTAGCAAGCTATTGTGATATGCGCATCTCCCAAAACTATGAGGGTTGAACGAGAGCGAAGATGCGAGTCGAGGTCCTTCATTGGCAGGGACGAGCATCGAAACTACTAAGCTTACAGTACCCCCTCTTCTCAACCCCGACCCCACCTCAGAGATACATAAATCTCACCACCCGACGCATTTCCATCCAAACCCGAGCCTCCATCCCTTACTTTCCCCCTGATCAATCTCAAAGCTCCAGCCCAAGATGCATCTCCTTCCCCTCCTCACGCTCCTCCCTCTCGCCAATACCCACGGCATCCTCCTCGCCCCTCTCCGCGTGCTCCAGGCGAAAAATCTCTGTTTTACTGTGGTGAAGAAATAATGATTAGCAAGAACCAACGAACAATACCTCGCAGAACCGCTATGGTGACAATAATGGTCTACGAACTGTTTGGAGAGCATTCCGCCAGGATCACCCCTCCCGACGCGACATTGAGAAAACATGTCTCGATATTCGCTGGATTGATTGGTCCGACCTCAAGGGCGATCCCAATAACAGCTTCTATCCAAACATGTGGTACGGCATGAAGACCGTCACCTCAAACGTTTCCTGGGAAATATTTGAGTGTTTTAGACAGACAAACGCGGATTTTTGGATTTTAGGCGTGAAGCTTAGGGATATTTCCCCGAGATGGATCCGTAGTCGAGATTCTGTGGGCGAGAATAGAGTACAGATATTGAGCATACAGAACTTCTGAGTTAGATGGCGAGCGATTTGCATCTTATTATTCTAGCACGTACTAGACGGAAGCTGGTTACCAAATCTAGGGGGTACCTTGGGATGGCTCGGGAAGAAGCATTAAAGGACGATGTCATTGCTGTTTCATGTGGGGGCAACTTTCCTGTTGTTCTATGCACGTGCGGGGATAGGTACTATGTTTCAGGAGGGTGTTATGTTTGACGGAGTTATGGATGGCGAGCTCATGGGGGCAAAGGATCGGGGAGAGTATCAAGAGTGAGAGAGATCACACTTTGCTGAAGTCATTGTCTCATCAGTATAGGGCCACTGTGCTGAATATCAGAGAAACCTGGTCCAATCTTTGTCAAGAATCTTGGCAGCAGAGAAACCATGGTATTCAAGACAATGTTCTTCTACGAAGCAGCACAATCTGCTGTGATAGGCGAGATGATTCTATAACTCAGGACTGCCGACCAGTCATTGCATCAATGTGCAGCCTTTCTACGAAATGACCAAACACAAATGGGCCATCTTTTATCATCTTTTCCCTCCCCTTTGTGTGCTCCTCCAGGAGAGGCAATTCTCTGACGTGCGGACCCCACGAACTTAACGTATGAGGAATGGTGTTTGCTCGGCGACCTGAAACGACAATCTAGCAGGGAGATAGCAACTTTTCAGAGCATGAGGGCTCTGGGTAGATCTGTAAACAAGAATAAAAGATGGTCACGTCATGAAGCAAGATTTGGAATGGACCGTTACCGCTTTCTCCAGTGCCAGCGAGCTGGGGACCCAGTCGCCAAGACAAAACCCGCCTCCCCACTGGATTCAAGCGAATAGAAGAGGGAGTTAGTGAATGATATATTCTATAAGGGTTACGCGGCCATCTCGTATCGCTACGCTGTGCCTCCCTTGCACTTGAATAGTGACCATTGGGATTGGTTGGATCGTGCATACAATGCCAAGAAAAGAATGTACGAGTTCAACCCACGATCGCCAACTTTGGATATGTGCCTCTCTCTTTTGGAGCCCATCAAATAAGCTTAGAATTCCTCCATTTCTCAAGCTCGACTTACCATGAGATCAAGGAGAACATCCTCAGCAGAAGCCACCAAACACTTCAACGCAACGATCAGTAAAATATCACCATGACCACCCTACTCACTACCACTCGGCCCGATGCTCCCACTGTAACAGCAGTGCCATCTACTGCCCAAACCACCCTTCAAACGACTCCTGCGCAAACGACGGCGATCCACGCACCAACCGCCTATGTCAACATCAGCTGTTCCAAATCATACTCACTTGCTGAGGCTGCAGGTGTTGGCGTCGCTGCCGGAGCCATTGTTGCTTCAATCATCGTTTTGGCCTTCATCTTCATTCGTCGCCGCCAGACCCGGGCCCGCAAGATCTCGCCCACAGTCAGCCCAAACGTTCTCGTGACAGGACCAATGGACCACAATAGAGATGAGTGGGAGAAGGATCGCGAGGGATCGAAGGATGCTATTGTGAAGGGGAACGGAAGCCTGAAGTACAAGGAGCCACCGATGTATACGAAGTTGGTATAAAGGGATGGAGACTGAAGGAAATCGATCCCGAGGAATACAGTACATAACGTGTACAGATGCGATGGAACCTATGTGATCGGGGAACACGAGGTAGTGGATATGGAGCTTCTGTTCTCTAAGATTAAAGAATCCTATGTTTAGAGTGATATTTATGTCAGGGTTGGATTGGAGTCCGCATGATATTATTTGTATTAAATCAAGTTGTCTGGATTCACAGTACCTTATCAATTAACGCAACACAAAGGCTGAAGAAACAATACTCTCGCATCTAGCAAATTGGTTACACAAGAAACCAGCAATATGCGGCGCGCCTCAAGACTGGACCTCAAGGATATCATCCACGTGACATAACCCCCCTGAAGGACTTGCCAAGACTCTCGCTTAATTCGGCTCAGCGCCACAGCATATCTAAGTGAGACCACAGATGAATTTCGTTTTGAGCGCAACATCAGCCATAGCACCAACTTGGTACTGCGATCTGCGTTTGGATCAGCATTCATGAATCGTTACCAACCAATAATTACGGCTATAATTTTGCATAATCGAGATGTGGGGTGATCCAGGTACCGGCTACCATTGAAGTGGGACTTCCTCTTCCAGTCAGGATCTATAACCTTATGTACAATCGTATGTCCTACTTTTAAAAGGGTTTCTTCTCTCATCCCTTTCTTAATTAGTCCCCCTTTGCTTTTGGACCACAATGAGGTACATGTTGTGGCTTCCGAGCTCGCTGGCAATGTCAATTAGCCCAGCAAGCACGTTGATACCAAAAGCCCATGCAGCAGTCTGCAGACGAACAATTTGACCCGCTAACAGGTGGCAAAACTGCTCCATACCCCGCACAGACAATCGACATACAGCTTTGTTGGATGTGCCCTCCTAAGCTACTTCGCCTAACTCAGACAACCAGATGGATCATTTCCCAAACAGTACACGATATGCGCCTCACGAAAAGGGAACATTCAAGCAGAGATACTTGTTTGATTCGACGTACTACGGGTCTGGTGGGTGAAACTGATGGTACCTATGGATTTTCGAATCTAGCATCTGGGAGTAAGACAGCCCACAATCCTTAATAAAATCTCGCTGAACCAGATCCTATAATTATTCTCATTCTTATGCAAGCAACGAATGAATTGGGAGTGATTACTCTCTTTGTAATTAGAGTTGAAAGGGTTATATACAGCTCAGATGAACTATATTCATTACGTTATGAATAGTATAGGGACTTTGCATATAACTATATTGAAACGTGCACAGCACAGCAAAGCATAAACACCTATGAATTAACGAAGCACCCGTTGCGGAGCAAACTAGGGTTAGTTATATAAGATGTCGCAAGCAATCGTTCCCCTCTGCTAGTCAATACTATCTTGTTGGGACACAGAGTAGCTAGAGAAGCTACACATCTAGCAGAACTTGCAGTCCTTCTGTCATATCATATATACAAATATCTCTCCGTCATATCGCACCATGAGGTCCAGGAATAAGGACAAGCCAACCAAACCAAATGCTCCTTAAGCGCATCTACAACCGTAAATTCCATTCTACCCTCACTCAATGATAATGGCAATTGTGCTTTTAGAAACTCTACCAAGTTCTTCTGATCACTGCTTTCCGTCTCCGTAGCCACCAGCTCAATGCTCTGCCAACTAGCGAACTTGGAGAAGCCACCAGACCATCTAAGAACGCCATTAGTTACAAGCAATACCTTTTTCGGCGCCCCGAAGCATCTAAAGAACTCTGCGTAATCCGTCGCCGGCCATATCCCAGGCGCGCAAAACTCCCTAATGCCATGTCTGACCTGCCAGGTCTTCGGCCTCTCCTTCCACTCTACAAGATCCTTCGAAGTCTTTAACGCCGTATTCTATCGCAACCTTATCGAATGCCGCAACCGGGTACGCCGACGATCCATCATCGTTGCAGGCTCCTTTTAATTCAGTAGCTATTATCCTCCCTACCGCATAGAGAGAGATATATAGCGTATCTAACCTGGGATGGATGAACGTTGGACCGAATGCGACGAAGATGAATTTGCATATATCGCGAGATTCTTTGCAAACGGTAAAGAGGCTGGGAAGGTGCGTATGTAACTGTTTCGTGGGCCCTCTGCTTGCTCCTAGAGGCTCTAGTTCTGAGGGAAATGGGATGCCTGCGTCGACACCTAGTTGGAGAATTCGCGCCTCGAATGTATTCTCGTATATCTTCAGCCGCATCTCCTTTGGCAGCTTCGGAAAGAGATGGAATGTGGACATCATAGTTAGTTGGGTGGTAAGTAGAGTAAACGAGAGAGGATTTGTAGTTACGAAGTACTTCTCGGCGGCCCCCACAGAGCAGGGAAAACAGGGCTAGAAACCAGCTAGTCTATAACTGTACTAGGCCAGGGTAAATTTGGATCAAAACAAAGATCAGAGAGTGTTCGGCTCGTGACAGCGTGCGTCTCGGGACGCGGGGACAGACGTTACGTCACAATCAGGCCAGCCATACCTCGTCAGACCATAATTGCCAACAGCGGATCCACTTTTGCAATTTTGTCAGCGCCAGACCACGATTCTTGACACGGCGGTGCTTTACCACAGCAACTCTGTTTCGGATATGATCCTCGCTCTTTGCATGAACCTCCCTCCTGCGTGGCACCTCCATCGACGCGGCTCAAGCATCGACGCCGACTCCACTTTGAAACCGAGCCCATCGCCTTCGACCCGGAAGTCGGCCTCCCTTCCCACGCCGAGTATCGCGATGTCCAAAGAGAAACAGAGCGAATAACAGGTAGGGACACAGTATTCCTGGCGAATGTCTGATTCGACGCCTCTCTTACGATCACTCGAGAGATAAAAGGCGGTGTGCGGATGATTCCTCAAATGCTGCCAACCGGAAATGTTGTCACCTTCCGGACCAGCAGGAGCCCATCGCCATACCTGTGCATGGCAGCACAAGATGCAAAGTAGACAGGCCCGGACGCCCTTGATACAGAATGGGGAAGTAGCTGCCGTCGACAATCCACAGCACTAACCGACAACAGAGCCATGCGAGTTACACGGCATTATCTGAGCAGCAACATCAAGCCCTCCAAGATGAAAACGAGGCTGCAATCAATTCGCTGGCCACCTTTGATTCCTCACTTATTAACGATCTGACTTTGCTACTACCTGCCTTCCCTTTATTGCTTTTGTCTTTATCAAAAGTTCCCATCATCTTCCATCGTTTCTAATCTCTTTCTTCGCCTCCTCATCTTCTCATCCTCAATTCCAACTTCGGCGTCAACATTCAAGATGGTGTTGAAACCGTTCCACACAGAAGCCCTAAATGGGTTGTGCTCCAAGGATCAACTAGACCTACTAGACTCGATCGACTGTCTCCGTTCGCAAGGCATCAGTCACTATGTCTCATTGCCACAGATCATTGTGTGCGGGGACCAGTCATCTGGAAAGAGCTCTGTGCTAGAAGCAATATCCGGCGTACCGTTTCCTACCAAAAGCAACCTGTGTACCCGATTTCCGATAGAATTAGTCCTCCGCAAGACGTCGCACATCGGCGTAAGCGTGTCGATTGTCCCGCACGAATCGCGCAGCGAGTCTGGGCAGCTGTCCCTCGGCGGCTTTCACGAGAAGCTAGATGGCTTCGATGGGCTTCCAACCCTGATTGAGAACGCGAAAGCAGCCTTGGCAATCTCCACACATGGTAGAGCTTTCTCAAAAGATCTCCTCCGAGTTGAGGTCTCGGGTCCCGACCGGCCTCACTTGACCATCGTGGACCTGCCTGGCCTCATCCACTCCGAAACGAAGCAGCAATCGGCTTCCGATGTTGAGCTGGTACAAGATGTCGTTCAAGCCTATATGAAGGAGCCAAGAAGCATCATCCTCGCGGTAGTCTCGGCGAAGAACGATTATGCGAACCAGATCGTGCTAAAGCTCGCCCGCGCTGCTGATAAGAAGGGCAATCGGACGCTCGGCGTTATCACCAAGCCGGATACTTTGATTGCGAGTTCCGAGAGTGAAGCCATGTACGTCTCTCTCGCGAGAAACCAGGATGTCGAGTTCCGGTTAGGCTGGCATGTCTTGAAAAACATGGACTCTGAAACGGGAGAGTGGTCGTTGGCGGATCGCGACGTCAAGGAAGAGGAGTTCTTTTCTCAAGGGATATGGGAAGATCTGCCCCGCTCCCTCTTAGGCGTCGACAAGTTACGGAACAGGCTGAGCAAGGTCCTTCTCAGGCAGATCGCTGCCGAGCTGCCAAGCTTGATCAATGAAATCGAAATAAAATCCAACGCTCGCCGCAGTCTGCTAGATAAGCTGGGCAAGCCTCGAGCTACCTTAGACGAATAGCGGCTCTATCTACTCCACATTAGTCAATCATTCCAGTCTCTCATCAAAGCGTCCGTGGATGGCACTTATAACGATCCGTTCTTTGAGGATGCTCAGTCTGAACCCGGCTATCAAAAGCGTATACGGGCCGTGGTACAGAACCTCAACCTAGACTTCGCTGAACGCATCGCCAGGCGAGGCCACTACCGTGAGATTATCGACTCTCCCCGCAAGACGGCTGTTCCTAGAGGGGTAACTGCAACGACGAGAGAAGATTTCATGGATCACATACAGCACCTGGTGCGGAGGACTAAGGGTCGAGAGTTGCCGGGAACCTTTAATCCCATGATAGTGGCAGATTTGTTCCTCGAACAATCATCTCCCTGGGAAGCGCTCACCCGAGGCCACATCGAAAAAGTCTGGCAGGCCGCTAAAAAATTCCTTACTCTAACAACCACCTACGTCGCCGATACTGCAACCTCCAAAACACTCTTCCAAAAGATCTTCGAGCCTGCGTTAAAGGAGCTATTAGGAACTCTGAACGCAAAGAGCACTGAGCTGCTAACGCCACATCAGAAAAGTCACCCGATCACATACAATCATTATTTCACCGAAGCTCTCCAAAAGGCCCGGAACGAACGAAGCAGGGATGAATACACAAGGATTATCAAAGACTTCTTCGGCACCTCTTCCATTGAGTCGGTATATCTTAACCACTAATCCAAGGATCTCCGCCCGCTTGTGGCAGCCCTCGTGCAACGTACGGAACCTGACATGAACCGATTTGCGTGTTCTGAAGCTTTGGACTGCATGGAAGCCTACTACAAGGTCGTCTATTTCTCCTGCGTATTCTGCCCCTACTTCTACAAAACCCTAGCTAATGCTTTCTTGTATACTTGATAGGTTGCTTTGAAACGTTTTGTCGATGACATTGCTATCGAAGTTATCGAAGCCAAGCTCATCTCCCCGCTCCATAATATCTTCTCTCCTATTACCGTCACTTCTATGTCCGCGGACCTCGTGACTTGCATCGCTGGTGAGTCTGAGGAGAACCGCGCCCAGCGCGCACAGTTGAACAAACAGCTGGAAGTCCTTATGAAGGGTATTGAGACCTGCAGGCGCTTCGTCGGCGTCAGAATCCTTGGTAAGATTGTACCTGGCTTGTCCATTTGTGGACTATCGCTCATATGATCAGGAGGTGTGGATGATAGCACGGTTCAATCAGAGAACACGTCCAACTCCACAGACTATGTCCCTAGCGGCTCCGATGAGGCGTTTGATGATTCAGCTTCAGATGACGGCAGGTCGCTATCGGATAGCTTTCACAGAGGCGCGAGCGAGCCCATTCAATATCCCGCTCCCGTTCCCCTAGGGGAGCGAGAAGTAGTGGAGGAATTAAACGACGAACCAAAAGAAGAAATTTACATCTCTTCTAAATCCAAGAAAGATAAGAAGAAGTCGAAAGTTGCAGCGAAATGGTTTTCTGAGTATGATTGACTGTTATGCAATTAGTAGCCGAATGGCGGGTTCTAGTACTAGAAGAAATACAAGTATGGACATGAAGTAATAGCAAGCTCTCTCCGTCTCAAAACATGCATCGATAACAGAATTTGTCTCGCGCCTCCATCTAGTAAAGAGCCCATCCATGTGTCAGTGAAATCCCTCCCTCGTTATGATGTTAACGAGCACCTTTTCAATTTTATGCACAAGCTGGCAAGGAGTTACCCTCCCAGTCTTCTAGTTCCTCGACCGCGGCTTCCAACAGCATCCTTAAAATGACTAATGACCGCCGATCTGGGAGCGAAGTTAGGGATAGCCTTGGGTATGACCGTCCAGTAACCATGTTAAAGGGACAGATTATACTGACGTGCCGTGTGGCTCAAGAAATGCATCGCACTCCCCAAGGAGGCTAAGTATCCTTTGTAAGGACATACAAAGCCCTCACCGGCAGCCCGAGAGTGAAGGTACTAAACTCGGAGGTGCTAGCCGAGAGCTCCCGTTTTCGCGGTCCTGCTTCAGAATAGCTCGGGGGCTATTGACGGCTCTCTGAATTCCTTAGCAGCAATAGATTCCACATCAGACTTATCGTTCACTAGGGTTTTCGCATCCTAATCCATATTTGTCTCCTCTGCTTCCTCCTGAGAGATATCCGCGTTGTCATCGTCGTCCTCCGCATCCGTATTACTATACAGGCGACTTGTTTTTGGTCGCCCTATTGACTTTGGCGCCTTATACTAGTAAGGGGTTGCTTGCCTCCTGCAGAGCTGTACGAAATTTTCGACAAGCCCGAACTACACTTGAATAATCTGGTCCTCGCCCAGGCTATCCAGGGGTATAAAGAGTGATCTGGCAATTGTAGCTCGCTCCGCCAAAAATTAAAAGACAAATTCAATGTATAACTCAACAACCACTGGTCGCATTGTTCAGCAAATAGGCCCATTCGATTCGCCTGGTCCGGTTGCCCTTCTGTTCCCGAGCGCGTCCCAATCCGCCTGTGCGCGCCTGCGTTGCTTGTGTCGCTCCACCCCCAGCACCCGCAGCCCTCGCAGCCCTCGCAGCCCTCGCAGCCCTAACCTAAATCAACCGCCCAAAGGCACAATTCTAAAGTAAGCGTAGTAAAGAGGTTGGGGGTCATCCGAGTCGTCGGGATCCGACCACACCGTTACAGATTCAATTGTCCTTTTGCCGAATTGTTCTTTATGGGTTGCAAGCAGCCATGCTACTCCACGACCGTTTGGAGTCCCAAGCATCGCTAGTCCAGCTGCGTCGCTCATCTGGACATCCACGCCAGGCCAAACCCTAACCTTCCCCCCGAGTATTCGTTGTATCACCTCTATGGTGTCTGCGTTAGTAACTTCAGTCCGGAAGACATAATTTAGTTCTCTGATGTCTAACCCCCGATCTATTCCTTGAGATTGCCATTCGACAAATACCACATCAGACCAATACGTTACATCAGCGTATATAGGGTTTTGGATTCCCGCCTCATCAAACCAGAATGCTGGCCCGTAATTACTCTCAGCAACAATGTACCCATGTCGTAGATTGTAATAGTTAATGTATGCTGCTTCCGATGGCTAGAATAGACAGTTATTAGCAAGTATTATTTTTAATAGAGCCTATAAAAACATACAGGAGCGGTTTGGCCTTTCGTGTTTTGACTTTCCCTGTCGTGTTGCCAAGTTATTTGTACAGTGTCAGCTGGATCATATGTAAGACCCAGTCTGTTAAATGCTGGCTCAAGATTCGCAAACTTCCCCAGGGCACCTTCGACAGGGTACCGATCCCATCCGCTTTTTTTCAAATCATCATCCGTTGTATAAATACTTTGGCGGGTTCCGAATGGAAATTCGAGAAAACAAAGGTAGTTTAGGCCTTTGTCTATGGCATCAGAATAAGTGTCTCTCTCTGAAAGATAATTTAAAGTTGGGATAGATAATGGTTGCGTGTTAAGTGATTCGTTGAAAGATTCTAGCACTAGCACCTCAGCTGGGAGGGAGAGTGCTAATTGGAATATTAAAAAGCAAAGGACTAAACTGGTAAACCGCTGGATACGCCCCTTACCTGAGTCAGCTTAGATATTACTTTGGTTAATAGAGAACTTACCATGCTTGAAAATTTGTAGAAGCTACTATAAGAACAATTATTCATTATAGGATATCACACTTCAAACTGGTCGAAGATAACTAAGATAATATAAAGGCCGCGGCTATAAGTCTGGGTAATATAGTGCGTTCGGCCCTATAAGAGCCTAAGGAGCTTCATATAGGAGCTTGAGGGTCCCTGTAATTATAGCATACACTCCCTGCAAACTAGTATAAGCGTAAAAGCCAGTACGGTGCCGAGCTCCGACCGGCTGGTAGTTTCAGTAGCTAAGGACCTATAATTTTAGTAGGCCACCTAGCTTTAATAGCCCCTTAATTAATTTCATATTTTATATAAACTAAAACAAAAATCCTAGTTTTAATAAAGTTTATGACTTAATTATAAAATACTAAGTCTTTAATTTTTAAACTTTTAGTTTTAATAGATAAATTTATTTAAAATAAAAAAACACTAATTCTTTAATATTAAGCTTTAAATTAAATACAGTTATTTTAAAACTTGAATTAACAGAAAGTTAAAAAACAGAATAATAATAAAATATCCTTTTTTTATTAAATTAATGTATAATATATAAATTATTATTATAGCCTAAAGCTATAAAACACTTAAGCCTTTAATAATAATAAAGCCCACTAATTTACAAGGGCTTATAAGAGATTAAAATGAACGGCGCAATTATCCCTCCGTCCGGCAGCCAAAACCTCAGCGCCAACAGGGACCCCTAGATACTCGGCTTTTATTCGCTCCTTTACGTTGTCTGGCCTGTACAGCCTTGTATCGCTATAGCAATTTCGGTAGATTTGGTTGGTAGAACCCCCCTGCTAGCGCTGAGGTTTTGGCTGCCGGACGGAGGGATAAGACCTTTATAAGCCTTATAGGCTCTAAAGTGGCTCAGGCTCGGCTTCGCTTGGGTCGTCTTTGTCGCTGCTATCTAGCTGAGTTGTTAAGAGAGCGTTTTTCTTGAGAGTTTGCTAAGCCTTAAGTACAAGCCTAGAAATTAAGGGGTAGCACAGCTATCTTTGTCCCAGGAGAAATAATTGTACCCTGAAGGGTCCACAGACAAGGGGTTTTTGTATGGTAAACGAGGTGGCAAATAAACTTTTAGTGACAATTATTTATCCAAGGATAAAGGTAAAGAGCAATTCAACCTTGTTTACCCTTGCGATTCGTGTCCAGTTATATAAATCTTTACGTTGTCAGCTCCTTCTTTGCCCTATACAAACCATACTTTTAGCTACTAATACCACAATGCATGCTACAGGCCGTGTTCTGTTATGCTTTGTTATTTTTATATGCTTTTGCTCTCCTCTCCAAGCCAAGCTAAAAGGGACTAGTTCAACTAGATCTCTCCAGGACAGGATATCTCAAGCTACTTCTCTATCTTCTTGGATGTCGCCTGTCAATCTAAACTCGTCTTCGTTAATAACGCCTTCGCCTTCTATATCAATTTCCTCAAATTCAAACCTTTCGAACTTGATATCAACTTCCTCGAAACCTATTTCCTCAAAACCTATTCCCTCAAAACCTATTCCCTCGAAATCTACACCAACTTTATTCTCAACGACGTCGACTTCTCGGTCTATTATATCAACTTCCTCGAAACCTATTCCCTCGAAATCTACACCAACTTTATTCTCAACTATATCGACTTCTTGGTCTATTATATCAACTTCGATTGCGACTACTACAATATGCTGCCACCATACATTAACAGCCATTATAGGAGATTTGGCTGGCGCTTTGTTTCTTGGCATAGAAGGGGGAGGTACTGTAATAGCTGAGTGTGCACCTGGAGGTGTAGAACCCAGATATGCAGGTGGACATCTAAAACGCAATTGTGAGCCTGTAGCGCTCACAATCGCAGAAGGCGCTCTGGTCGCTATAGTAGAAGGAGAGGATGGTGAGCCACAAGAGAGCTCTGTCTCTACTGAAACTCCATCGTCCACCCCATCGTCCAGTTCCAGCAAATGTGGTACAAAAACTGGGTATGATTACTGGGTAGAGTGTATCTCAACTGCTTTTGACGGAGGTGAGGGTTGTGTTACCACAAGCACCTCGAAGACGATAGGATGCTCCCCTACAACAACAATAACAACCACAACACTTGCGGCATGCGGATATATTAATCCTCGTGACCTGGAAGAACAGGGGGAAGACGGCGGCTGTCCCAATAATATCGATTGCAACGCACCATACTGTTTTGGTACAGTAGCACCTCCAACAGACGGCACCGGTCTCGGCGCTCCAGTCAACGCTACTTGCCAGAAATTCTTGCCAGGCTGTAATTGTACAGCAACAGCTCTTACACCTGGATTCTGCAGCTATTATATAACCTTTTGTGACTTGCCCAACTGCAACGGCCTACTCAAAGATGGCCAATGGAATTGCACAGGGCAATTTTTAGGCTGTCCTTGTACGCCCACGACAAAGTTTAGTTCTCCAACGACTACCAGCACCTCTACCAGCACCTCTACCAGCAGTTCTACCAGCAGTTCTCTGCTAGTGGTAGAGACCTCTATAGTGGCAGGGACCTCTATAGCGGCAGGGACCTCTATAGCGGCAGGGACCTCTATAGCGGCAGGGACCTCTATAGTGGCAGAGACCTCTACCAGCAGTTCTGTGCTAGTGGCAGAGGCAACTCTATCTACTCCATCGACAACTCGTCGGCAGCTGCTTCGGCACCTTCTAGGAATGCGTCATGCGTAACTTCGGGTATCTACGCGGATATGTCCTGCGCAGTTTCAATCGTAAGTGGATGCCCAGCAGGTGCTAATGGCATTTAACGCTGCGTTTATGGGTAAGAAAGACCCAATATACCCTGCTACCATAGTACTAATTATATCTTATTATAGACTCGAGGGCCAGGAATTGCTTTGGCTTTGTATTTATACTGCGGGTCTCAGAGCTACTGCGGGTCTGGAAGCACTTGTGCTAATTCGTATCAGGGTATAGGCTTTGCTTATGGATGGTGTACTGATGGGTACTTGAGTCTTACTATTCTCTTTCTAGTCTATATACTAATACTTAGTTATATTCCTATAGTGACTTCCCGTGTACTTGTAGTAAAAACGATGGCATTGGCACTTGACTCATCGGTAACTACATCCTAATTAGCAACGCCTAAGTTGCCATCTACTTGGAATGCCACTTCTTCGAGCAGTTCTTCGACTACCTCCGCAATTGTCGCTGTATCAAGGATATCTGGTCAGTGTGAATAATAAATAGAGTAGAGCAGAGTAGTGGCCCCTGTAACAGCGGGAACGAGGCAATGGCCAGGGCTCAAAGACCCAGGAAAATCCCATGTATTGAGAATACTAAGCTAAGGAAAAGAAGGAGAGAGAGAGAGAAGGAGAAGGGATAAAAGGAGGGAAATACTAGCTAAAACCACTGAAATGCCGGCTAGCCAGGTGAAACTACAAAGATTGCGGTATAAAGTAACGGGATTACAGGGCATAATTATATGCAGTCTACTAAATAGCCCTATAAGATCTTACTTGCCCCCTAAAGAGTATTTCGCTTAATTAATAAACATTCCAGGGGAGCTAAATTAGCTAACCAAATTAGTAATAAATAAAGATATACTCTAGCTATAAACTACTACTTTCTTCTATTTCTTTTTTCGTTCTTCCTTATACTTATTTCTATCTTCTAATCTAATTATCTCTTTTACGTAATATGGAATTGCCTTAATCTATTCTTGAATTTTCGCTTATAGAATATTCTCCTAATATTTCTCTTACCTTACTCTGAGCTTCTTACTATTACTAGTAGGCCCTTACTTTATAGTTTCTTTCTTTATATAGTATTATAAACGCTTAATAGTATTTAAATTAGGTAAGTTACTTAGCTATAGCATTTTTATAATCTTCCAGAAATTGTAAATCTATTATTAATAATAAGATTTATAAACTAAAGTATTATTCTTTTAAATAATTATTTTGAAATAGTTCTTCTAATATTTCTTTATAAAAGATAAGAGCTTTATAATTAAGATTTTCTTTTAGTAATAGTACTAATTAATTCCTCTATATCTATTCTTTGTTATAAAAGCTCTAGTTTCCTTATTATACTTTTATATTTTTCTTATTTTATTAGGCTTTTTTCTATATACTTTTATTTCTTTCTTTAGCTATTTCCTTTATTATTTCTCTTATTTTTATTTATTTGCCTTCTTAATTAAGGAGTTCCTTATATTTAAATTAGCTTTTCTATTTTTTTTTACTATACTATTTCCTTTTCTTATATATAATATAGCCTTCTTTTATTATATAAGAAATATTCCCAAAATATAAACTCAGAGAAGCCCTTTTAGTATCTTCTAATATAATACTTATTATATACTTCCCCTGGAAGCCTCTATATTCTTTTTTTCCTCTTATATTCCCTAATTAAACTATTATCTTATCTGAAAAAATTATATTTTTCTAGTTTTTAAATTCCTAATTCTTATATATTAAATATTAATCTAACTACTTCTTTTCACTAAATTCGTTCAAGCCAGGCTTTATTATTAGTTTATATTAAAAATAGATAGCTATAATAAGAACTTTCTAAACTATTTATATAATTACTTTATAACTCTTCTTTCTAATTTCCTTTATAATTATAATATAAGAAAAGCCTTATATAGTCGAATTTTAAAATATAACTTATAAGATATATTTAATTATAATAGGTAAGATTACTAGCTAGCCAAATCGGGATTAATTAAGAATATAATATACTTCTAGAAATATATTCTTATTCTTTCTTTCTTTATATTACCTAATAAGGCTTATAAGCTTATAAATACGAGTTCTAGATATTTCTATAGCTTTTTTAATATTACTTATAGATTTCTTTTACTCAAATATATAAATAGCCTTAATTCTTATACTAGTTATATACTCTTTATATATAATCTCAAATATAATAAAAACTATAGAAGTATTAGAAGAAGAATAAAAAGAAAGTATAAAGCTTAATATAAATAAGTTATTATCTTTATTTTCTGAATCTAATAATAAATTATATTAAATATTCTTTTTATCTTTTATAGCTTTACTATATTTTAATTTATTAAAATTAGAAAGAAGGAAAAGCTCTAATTAGCTATCTAATAAATCTGGAAAGTCAAATAAATTACTAAAAGTAGCTATAAATACTAGCTTTTATATAAGAAATAAGAGTAAAAAAGAGAGCAAATAGTAAAGAGCTCTTGCGAGAGAGATAAGAAAAGGGAATAAAGCTTACTTTACTCTACTACTAATTGCGGATATAGGCTTAAAAATATAGGAACTAAGGGCCCATAGAAAGCCTATAGCTTAATATAGCCTTCTAATCGGGCTATAGATAGTTTTAGTAGGCTTTAGAGGCTTTATATCTCTAATTTAGACTAATTATAAGGCTTATAGGGCTCGGTAAGATATTACAGGCTCTATTAATAGCCCTATATTTATATATATACCTGTAATCCCGTTACTTTATACCGTAATCTTTATAGTCAGGTAATAGCCGCCCTTATATAACCCTAACTAGTACTATTACAGCCCCTACTTATATTCTAATTAAGGTATTTATAAATATTTATAAATACTTTAAGTAATATATATATTACATATATATATTCTAAGCAAATATAATTACAGAAACCGAAACCGGAATATTTAAAATATCTTTTATATCTTATTTATTTGCTTTGCCTTTATAAACCTCAGAAAATAATTCAGGAACAGAATTAGGAACTTTATTATAAACCTCAAAAAGGTTCTGAGTAACGAGAAGCTAGCCCCTTATATCGCTATCTTTATAGTAAGTAAAGAACTATTAAAGTCCTTTAGTTATATATAAGTAAAGCTCGAGAATAAAGAGAACTTTAAATAAAAGGCCTTTCTGAACTTAGGTCACTCTTATAGCTATATCCGAATACGGGCAATTATCGGGCCGAGATATATGATATATAAGAACAAGTAATTTAACTTACCAAAAAAGTGGACAAGACAAATTATTATTTTAACTAGTGCGATATATTGCTTAGAATTATTGCGGACGGGACTTTGGGGCAATTTCAGTTTCTATTCTCTTTATTTTTAGCTTATTTTTGGCATGTATAATAGCGGGTCTCAGGGGCCTTTCTTATATAGATAATAGCGGAACACTCACATGCCCAGATGTGGCGTGTACCGGGAGGGGACTTGGGGATATAATATCCGCCCGCTCCCTGGCATCCCGCAAGGGGGCCACCAGGGTGCGGACAGCTTCAGGAGGCCCTGGAGGACTTTGATACGAGGCTCCAGAGCCTGCTATGCGAGGACTTGGGGCATTTATTCCAATCATCAGTGCTTGGGACACAGAACGATCATTAGGGGGCTTCAGGGGACTACAGGGACTTCAGGTGGCTTCAGGAGGTGATCTCAGGCAACAAGGCACGAATTCAGGCAGCAGCAGGAACCTGCAGGGTAGATTAGACCACTCCCGCGTGGGCCTCAGGTACGGAAGGGTGGGAAAGACTAAAACGACCCCTGCCCCTTTCTGATTTTGCGGGGGGGGGCCACAGCTAATCCCCACAGCTAATGGTCCTAATCCCCACAGCTAACCCTCGTCCGATCCGCGAGCCTGTCCTTGTGGTTTTGAGACCGAAAAAGAAGTAAAATTAAATTAAGAACTATATTAAATTATGAACAAATAAAGGAATATCGCGATTAATTTCCGATAAATTTATATTCGAAAAATATTTTAAACCTAATCATTATCGAGAAATTTAATTTCTTTAATTTTCAAAATATAAAATATCGGATATCTATTCGAATTCTTTCGGATCTTTAAATCGCTTTTTCAGGGATTTTGGTCTAAATTCTCGGGATATTCGGGTATTAAATATTCCGGAATATCCCGAGTTTTTGATTTTGAATTAATTAATCATATATTTGAGGGATTTTAATTTTATGATAAAATTCCTTAGAAAAATAATATTCAATCTTTCGTGCACTAATATTATGTTCCCAATATTATATGATCGAATCTGAATATAACTTTTTAGATTAAAGTCTAAAAATTTCTCGAGTCTATCGGTTAATTTATAGGGACGGGGTTAGCTGTGGGGATTAGCTGTAGCCCCCCCCCCTCCTGCCGCTTCGCCCCCACC